AGAGCTACACACCTTTGCGACTTGTAAAAATTCTCTACACTATACGAATCATGATTCAATAATGATTCAATTGAATCATGTATACGAATGACGACTGCACACGGTTGCCACTTTTTCCTTTTTTGAGTACCAATAAACGTACCAAAATGTAAAAATTCTACCAATATACCTTCAAACTATAGTGATTGTTCACACTTGCCTATCAGGTTATCTGGTTAAATATTATTGTTCTGTACAGTATTTTATTGTTTTAAACTGAATAAAAAATATAACCACACAACCAGATAACCAGGCAAGAATAAAAAATAAGCAATCGCTTTTTCTTAAGATTTCAGACCTTTTCCTTAAATTTATTCGAATAAATCGATAATAAGCACTTGTATGTCATTTAGCTCGCGTCACTCCAAAAGTCGCAATGCCCGAGTGAGTAGAGCATAGGCATGCCGTTCGAAAAGTCATGAGTTCGGTTCTCTGGCGGCGGAACTTGTTTTCTTTAATTTTAATTAAATATTTTTCTTTTTGATTAATTAAAAAATAATAATTTCAAATTCATTTAATTTTTAAATCCATTTATTTACTTAATTTTTGCTTTTTTTATTTTGTTTTTTAAATTTCTTTTATTTATTACTTTTGATTGTTTAAAAGGGAATTAAAGAAACTTAAAGGCGAACAGCATAACGCTAAGACCTCCACGTTAGCAGATCTTTCAATTAGTCTTTCGAAAGACAGTAAAGAGCTTTTAAGATAGTTGCCAGAATAGACAACTGTCTTACGAAAGACTTTTGTCTTTCGAAAGCCTGTGGTGAGGTGAAACACCGTTTCCAGAATTGCCCTGTAAGCTTTTTAGAGAGGGCCATGTTTCAGATTTTAGCCTGAGATGAATACCTCTCCCTGAATTGTAAGAGTATGATGGATGGGCAATCACAAAATATGTTCCAGGTACAGAACTTGAAGTCCTGTCAGGTGGCCTGTGAAATTTCCTAAAGTTAAGAAATCGTTCCTCTAGACGATGTTATACGTTTCTATAATTGAAATTCCCCCTTAGGAGATCTGCTGTGTATTATATTTATAGACCACAAAAAGTCTGTGGAATATATAGGCTCTGTTGGAAACCACATTTTTCGAGAGAATCAGCTCTCTATTTGGGATATATCCCGTATGTTTTACCATGGAGTCTCTGTCAGCATTGTTTTAACAGTTATGAGGTGAGACTTCCAGTTGAGGATTTTTTTCAGGGTTATTCCTAGATCTTCGCCTCATGCGTTAACTCTATATCTAAAATTCCTGTTGAGGGTTAAGCCAAAATGACTTTCCTTCTTTTAGTGAAGAGAACGATGTTGAACTTTAGTAGGTTTACAGGGGTTCGTGGTTACTGCCTCCTAGTTCCTCTATTACATATATGTATGTAGTTATGGATTCAACATGCTTATGAATATTTCTTCTTGCCATGGCTCGTATGACGTACTACCAAACACCGATGAAATGTCAAGGAACGCACAAAGATCTGTCTGCTTACACGACAATGCCTTTTCAATTTGTTAAGTTACACACTGCACTGCAGTAAAAGTAGATTTCTCTGATTTATATGCTTGTTGGCCTTCACACAAAGGCTTGACCTTAAAATAGGTATACATATAATGAAAGTAATAATTTATTTATTTTACCAGATATCAAAATGTACCAAAATGGAAAAAATTTACCAAAAATGGTAAATTTCGGACGAAATGGCAACCGTGCGAGTGCAGAGGAGCAAAAGTATCTCTGTGAACAAAATGGAACTGCAAAATGGTGGATTTTAGTAGTTCCGCATAGAGGAATTTGGGAGGTGATTTTAAGGTCTCCAAAGTGTTTAAGCGTTTCTGTGTTTTGTTTTAGGCGTTACAATGAATGCTAATACTTTTGTTTGTTTAGATGAATATTTAACTAAATTTTAATTATTCTGTTTGTTTTTTTTCGGTGATATATTAGACCAAAGCTTAAGTTTTCATTAGTTTAAAGACCTTTTAACGCCTCCCAAATAGTTAATTACTAATTAATTCCTTTCTACACAAACACCCCTTAATCAATTACATATACATATGCATGTGTACAGAGACGTGTTTGTATTATTTCAGTGGATTTTCATTGCAAATAAAAGGCAAATCCAATTTTTAACATTTTTATTTAACTTTATTGACAAACAAACACCATGACAAACAACGACATCAATTGTATATTGACAAGTTTATAACTCAGGTGAATTAGTCGATACATAATTTACGTGCCACTCTGACACTTTGCAATAACAGCTATCACATAACAATATAAGTATTTATGTATTTAAGTAAATATTTATACAATTCGCTTTTGGTTTTAGTAAAGTAACTATCTGTTTAAGTAGTGAAACGAAGAATCAATTCCTTAAACTTTATACGCATGTATGTATGTGTATTTCTATATAATTAAACATAATTTGTTGAACTTGCTTAAAGTGAAATCGTCATACTTATTTTTGGCATACTTACAATAATATACTTTTTATGCTGATATGTGTAATATAATGAATTTTCATTTCATTTGTATGTAAGTCGCTTCTCGAACTCTTAATTAATATAATTTGCTTATGGCTAAACTAATACGTATGACTGTACTACTTTTTACTTATGTTCTTAATGCTTATACATATTTTTTTCTAAATTTATATTATGTTTTTACATAGGTATATACATATGTAAGTATACACATACATATCGTTACCTTACGTAACTAAATATTATTTTTTGCGGGGATATGGGGACTTATAATTCGATGAAACTCACCATAATCAATCAAAAATTGATGTTTTGGATTTTTAGATAGTTACGGCTTTTTGTATTTCAGCGACGATGTGACAATATTACGGTAACGATGTGTAGGTACATATGTACATACATACATATGTATGTATGGATGTATGTAGGAACATGAGACTTCTAATGTTAATCAATTGAAGGCGTATATAAAAATGCTATATACATATAGCACACATATACATACATATATATATATGCAAGTATGTACATATAATTACAATTTTCTTATTGTGAAATCGTCCAAGCCTAAAATTAATTGATATATTTAATGCTTTTGCAGTCAGTAGGGGAAAAGTTAAGTAAATTGTGTTCACAATACATTTCATTTGATGATACGAGTACAAACATACTGCATATGTGGGTCAAAGCAATGTACATATTTATTGTATTGTGCATTTCAGTTTTCAAATTAATTGCAGCCATTCAATTAACGATCACAAATGATCACATATTCGATAGGAAAATATTAAGCGTATGGCTTTGAGGTGACCGAGTGGACTTACAGCGAGCTGAGAAAATTTATTGGAGTGAATTATTGATAGCAATAATCTTGGGTTTTTTTATTCACAATGGGGAAATGGCGTGAGAAAAGTATTTTAAAGTCAGTGGTATGGTACTAAAATGGCGAATATTGAAGAATATAAACATATGTATTACAATGAATGTAATATTTTAATTGGACTAGTAATTTTGGGATACATATGTATGCACATTAGGGTGGTCCAAAAATACGTGTTAAAAAGTAAAGTCGGAAGGGGGGGGGGGNTGTTGTATAGCCAGCTAGGCTTTTATAAAAAAATAATAAACATTAAATAAACAAAAGACAAATAGCCAAAACTGGTCAAAATATCGCACTCCTATTATTTTGTGGACAACTGTACATACATATCCCGTCTTTTTTAAGATATTAAAAAAATACATCCATCTGTTGTGAAAGAAATATGAGGGTGCAAATACTTTACTTGAACAAATTGTTATTTCGGTAAAACGAATGGTCCCATGGGGATTCGTACAGGAAAGTTCGATTGCATAAAAAAAATACTTTTTAGGACCAATAATTTCACGAAAATATCCTATTTATGCAAATTTGTCAACACAACAAAAAAATTTAGAAATTGTTGGGTAGTAAATTAACAAACATAACTTAATAACTAATTTAATAAACAATTAACTAACTATAAACGGTTCACGTGAAAAATTTATTGAAATCGCAAAATAAAAGCATTCTTCAATACGAAATATGTTTGCCACAAGGCCGCTCACTAATCTTCTAGTTAAGCAAAAATAATAATTTAAAGAACTACGCAGCCACAATGATTTCTTTATAACATAAACATTACGTGCCACTACAATCGACTTCCAAGTGTTGATAAATAATTCTNATCTTCTAGTTAAGCAAAAATAATAATTTAAAGAACTACGCAGCCACAATGATTTCTTTATAACAAAAACATTACGTGCCACTACAATCGACTTCCAAGTGTTGATAAATAATTCTCATTTACAAACTAAATGCATACAAACATGTTACATTCAGAAAAGACTCGGATGTGCATACATACTTACAAATAGCAACGTGGGTAGAGTAAGTACATACATATGCATGTATGTATGTACGAATTAAGTGCTTGTTCAAATTGTTTATGGTGTTTGTGAGTATGGCATTTTAAAAGCTAGTAACATCACTAGTTAACGAGATAAACGTGCGCAAGTGCAAGTGAAGTTATTACATTTTAATTTATGTATGTTTGTAGTGCGAATAAACATCTAAACTTGTAGTAGAGGACACTCATCAACAATTATTGAAATGTGATGGCAGCCTATGTCGGTCTAGTTAAATACCACTAAAGGCACTTCAAAATTGATTGTGTGCATAATACTTGTAATTGTTTATTTTTATGTAACCTACAAAATACAATAATAACTACCTATACCTGGTGTACTAGAGCAAACGTCCAAACCTTCTAAAATGGTGGAAAATGCTTTTTATTGGAAACGCAAAAATATGAATGACCAAGTCAGGGATGCTCTATCGTTTGGTCGTATGGACGACTTCCAATTTCCAACGAGAGTCTATTATTTTAAATGGGACGTACATGCTTTTACCACGGAATCGGATTCAGCGGGCAAAATTATGTAACTGTTGTTTGAAACTTTTTTCTTTAAAGTGCCTTTTTCACCTCTAAATGACCTTCGAGCTTTAACTCGTCTTGGAATGCTAAAATGGAGCAAAATGTTTTTATTGGAAAACGAAAATATATGAATGACCAAATCGGGGATGCTCTATATTTTCGTCATATTACCGACTTCCAATTTCGACCGGATAAAATACGTAACTTTTGTCAGAAACTTTCGACAGTATCCGAATCTGCGGTAAAAGCATGTTCATATGTCCAGTTTAAAAGAATGGACTTGTGCTCTGTTTAACCCACTTCCGGTCGAAACCGGTAACTTACATCTTTGCGTTTTCAATTAAAAAAAATTTGCTCCATTTTAGAAGGAGTGAACAGGTGGTCTAGGACACTCGGTATATCGCTAGTTAAGAACGAAAAGCTGCTAAGTCCATTTTTACAAATTTTACAGGAAAGGAAGAACTTCATATGTATACCAAAATGTTGTGTGTTTAAAGCAAAGCAAAACTCCGTACGTATCAGAAGGATTCGGTGTTAATGAAAAGATTTCGTTTTGTTTGGCCTTACCGAATTTTCTGTGCCCTCTTTTAGACTTAGAAAATTTGCCTTTCATTGAATGTAAAAGGAAAGAAATAAAACAAGTACCTTAATTCTTTTGGAAACGATGCAATTTTAATTTGTCTTGCTTCCTATATGCAAATATGATTTTTTTTAGGTGGACTTAGCAAAATTTCACTCGTAACTTAGCGATATGTATTTTCACATACATGTTAATATACTGGCAAATTTCTAATTAAAAGATTATACTTACGAACGAATAAATTACTAGCCATAACTACAATATATAGTTCTATATAAATATTAATATGAAAATAAATAAAACATGGTTTCAGTAAAGCTAAAATATTTCGAAGAAATTCCTTTCTTTTTTAAGTATTCGCCCTTTACTGCTCCATCTGTTCGAGTTGTTCCTGCGTTTGCGCATGCATCTTACGTTTGTGCCAACGTACACTGGCAAATTGTGCAAACCTTTGACCACAAATATCACATTTATACTTCTTCACTGGCAAATGTAATTCGGTGTGCTTCTTTAGGTTGGCAAACGTTGTAAATGCCTTGCCACAAACATCACAGACATGTTTTCGGATATTTAAATGGCCATTCATGTGATCCGTATAACGGTTGCGCTCATAGAAGGCCTTGTCACAGATGGGACAAAGGAAATTGGATTGTTTTAGGTGGGCACGGCGGTGAGTATCGTAGAATGACCAGGTTTTAAAGGATTTGTCACACAGCTCACAGATATAGGGGCGCTCACCTAAAAAAAGAGATAAGGAGAACATTAACAGCATGAATAATAATATGTATACGAAAACGGGGTGAAAAGTCCAAATAAAGCTGATAATAAATAATAAGCATAAAGATAAGGACCAATTTTAGGATAAAGACAGGGTTAAGGACATACAAAACGACGGAGATATTAATATGGAAGGTTAAAAAAAGGATAAGACAAAGGGTGATGGTACGGATAAGGATACGGATATGGATAGGGGATAAGAAAAGCGAGGATAAGAATAAAGGCAGATAAGAATTAGCAGGAAAGGATAAGGATGGGGAAATAATAAGGATATGGAAATGGATATTTATATGGATAAGAACATAGGAAAGTATAGGTGTAAGGATAAGGATAAAGAAGTGAACAAAGGGAAAGATGCGGATAAAGACAGGAATAAGTATAAAGATAAGGATAAGCGTAAAGAAGGGGAATAAGGACAACTAAAGGGCTTACGAAAAAGAATATAAAAATACAAATTTAACAAAAGAAAATGCTTATTTTAAGAATTACTTAACAAAGTACAGTGATAAGAGTATTGATAGTATGAGGAGGAACACACAAAAATAATGAAAAGGTTAAGCTCAGAATAGTAAGGAACAAAGATTCTTTTCAGAAGGGACCGTGACGGTTATGATCTTTGTAATAAAAATCATAATTTAATCGTTAAAATTTGATCTATTTTTTTCTGGCTAAATTTAACGGTTATTATATGTTTTTATACCCGAGCGCACTTGTGCACAAGGGTATTATAACTTTGTTCACATAACGGTTGTTTGTAACAGGCAAAACGAATCGAGATAGATATAGACAAATGTATACATAAATGATCAGAATGAAAAGAGAAATCGATTAAGCGGTGACTGTCTGTCCGTC